CCCCCCCCCCCTAAAAACTAAACTGTTGGTTGGCTTGAAAAATCTGGGAAAATTCGTAATAATACTGCTTTTCATGAACTTTCAAGGAAAACTATAACGGTTAAGATACATCAGTTAGTTTAAGAGTAATAGTAATTTAACTCATGTGTTATAAAATTTCTTAATTAGTAAAAATTCCTTAGAAGAAAATATTAAAAGTGAATTTAGATGAAGTAATTGCTTGCTTCTGAAATATATTGTCGGACAACAACGAAACCCTACACTGCGCGTGGCACGACACGCACACAACAAAAATTAGCCATATTTTTTTTGTTTATTATATATAATAATGTTTTTTTTTAATCAATAACATAATAAGTATGGATTATTTTTTGTTGGTTTCTTGGATTGAAAGAGTGAAATAGGTACGTAAGTACGACATTCGTGTTGTTTCGAAAAGCCACAGGTATTATCAGGTATAGTCACCAAATTGTTTTTTTTTTAAATGATTGTGCATTCACATTCTAGGGAGCGTAGAAAAGCTAGTGTGATTTTCAATACAGCATTATTAAACCCATATTACAAGGTTGCCCCCTTATTAATTGTAATGGCAAGTAAGTATCTAGTAAGTAGGTACATAAAAAAAACTTGTTACTACGATACCTAGGTCTATCTGAAAGACGAAGTAAAAAGAGAAAGACGGTTTTTTTCAATAAGTAGTGCACGTTAATCTAAATCTTACACGACTTAAGTAAGTGTCGAAAAAACAAGCTATTAAACTTATTATGTAATAATTATTGCGCTATTAACGATGAAAGGTCTCTTTTTCATTCGAGTTCATACTTAGTTACACCGGGACCGGCTTTTTTCATGGAACCGCTAAAAATTTAGTGGGCGTAGCTCTTCGCATTTAACAGACTTTTTTCTTAAAATACTTTTCAGTCACCCTTTTGTCGAAATTAAATAATCCGTGATTGTCCTTCTTCGCCGCCCCCGGTGGTTAGGCTGTAATTTAAATAAAAGGTGGGATCAGCTTAACAAAAAGTTTCTAATTATTTTTGTGACTCTATTTATTCTATCGAACTAGGTAGGTACTCGTCTTCACACTTGGGAGGACCCAAGCACAAAGACAAAGTACCTTACCTATCTGCCTAAGAAATATTCGTGACAATTTCATGTTACCTATCTACCGAAGTTACAAAAAAATATTATGAAGTGATTTTGGAACTGTCACGTTTGTAACTTTGTGTAGGCTTTGTCCATTAATAATAAACGAAAGCCCAGAATTTACACGTGTACATCTCTCATTTACATAGGTGTCCATGAAGAGTTTTTCACAATTTTCATATTCATAATGAATATCACTGAAATACATTACACCTCCAAACCATCAAAAGGTATTTAAGTAAATTAATTAAAAAATTGGCCAAGTGCGTGTCGTGTCACGCGCAGTGTAGGGTTCCGTAGTTGTCCATCGTTACCACAATATATTTCAGAAGTAAGCAATTACTTCATCTAAAGTCACTTTTAATATTTTCTTCTAAGGAATTTTTATTAGGTATGAAATGTTATAATACATGAGTAAAACGACTATTACTCTTGAACTTACTGATCTATCTTAACAGCTATAGTTTTCCTTGAAAGTTCATAAAA